TGACACATGCCCCATGCTGACGTCGAAGAAGAGAGATGTGCAAAATATTGCAGCAAATCAGTAGGAGCGAGTATGTCAGGGGGAAAAGGGCAGAATAAGTGGCCTATGGTAGTTGCGAATAAGCTGGGCGCTGCGCTAACACTGGAGGACTCATTCAGAAACACTGTGCTTTTGGCATTTGAGAAAGAAACTCCCATTTTGATGTATTTTGTCTCTGTAAGGAAGCAAGGTTGCATTGCGACAAATGAACGGAAGTCGTGGCTGACACGTTTTTCGTCCAAGAATTAATGTAATCTTAGGTCAGACATGCGAAAACTTTAGTCGAAAAGTATTAGATGTCTGTAGAGAACAGACCTGTGGTTGCCAAGGGGGAGGGATTTGGGGGAGGGATGGATTGGGAGTTTGGGATTAGCAGATACAAACTATTATATATAGAATGGATAAACAACAAGGTCCTACTGTAGAGCCCAGGGAACTGTACTCAATATCCTGTGATAAACCATAATGGAAAAGAATACGAAAAAGAATAGATATGTGTGTATAACTGAGTCACTTTGAGCTACAGCCGAAATTAGCACAACATTGTCAATCAACTATACTACCATAAAAAAAAAGTAGATGTATGTTTCAAAAATGGTCTAATATTATTTATAAGGTAATAGGAAGTACCATATAAAAACACATGTTTGATAGGCCAAGTGGGAGAAAACAAAAAAAATCCATTTATGACAGTGTTTCTCCATTAAAGGGAATGGATGGTTGGGACGATAAGCCCGTTACTGAAGAGTCTGAGGGATAATGAAATAAAACAAATTGAAAAAACATTGAACACAATTTCCGGGAAACCTTCTCCGTCCTCCTACATCACCATCACACCTTCTCTTAAGCTGTGGGCAAGGCAGATTCCGTCCAACCTGGGACACATCACCCTGCGTTCCTACAATTACACGCACACACGTCCCGCGATACCAGGCTGAGAAGGCAGGTGGAGGAATTAGTGGGTGAATATCGCAAAGGTCAAGAGCTGCTGGGAATGCAGCCTTTGGTCGAGATTTTCAACCAAAAGGAAAAGGAAATCCTAAGACTTGAAATATATGCTTGAAGTGATTTACGTATATGCGCTTCTTCCTAATTGCAACACAAGTTCTGGCTGGGCGAGGGCTTCTCCTTCTTAAGGTAAGCTGGAGTACAGGAAAGTTCTCTGCAGCTTTCATTTGAAAATGCCACAGCCCCCGTGAGTTCAGCCTCAGCCCTCGATTTGTTGTTTCTGACCCCTCAGGTTTAACTTCCGATAATCAGACAAAGGAGAATCAGACACAACCAACACAAACTGAAGTCATTAATAAAGACAAAAACTAAGCATAGCCTTTCTTACACCAATCAACTCCTGAGACATAGGCAGCTGTAATTAGAATCTTCTCTCTTTTCTTAGGTGCATTTTAGAGGCAAAATTAATTTTTTTTAATTTTGATTAGTAATTTATTTTATTTTTTTAACATCTTTATTGGGGTATAATTGCTTTACAATGGTGTGTTAGTTTCTGCTTTATAACAAAGTGAATCAAAATTAATTTTTTAACTGGATGAAAATCTTAGTGAACAAAGCAAGCATTTTTTCCCTCAATTACTATTGTAATGCTGTTGCAATTTTAAACCTCACTTATCTCCTATTTTCAAAAAAAAGGCACCTTTAAAAGAGCTAGATATAAACAAATTTCTTTGGAATGAATTCTAATTTCCTACTGCTTTTTGTTGTGATTTAAGATTTTAAAAAATTATTTTGAAGACTTAAAAGTCAAAATTGTGTATCGTTTTTCTATAAACAATGTACGCTTCAGGTGTACTCTTGAGTTTTCTCAAATGATGCTTTAAAAAAAAGTCACAAGAGAGAAGTTTCCAACAAACTTGAATTGAAAAGCTAGCAGGATTTATGGGGCTCCATGGATTCCACATCAGCAGAACCACATCCCACGGATTTTTGCACGACCAGCTGGCCTGGAAAGTCTCACACTAATGCGAGCATTTAGTTTATAGACTTACATTCATCCGCTCAAAAATCTGCAGCAGAATCTCAGAGCTAACTACCAGTCTTTTAAGATAAATTTTACCATAAAATCAAGTTGTCATTACACTGAATTTTTACTAACACTGCTTCATAGGTCAAAACTTAAAGCCAAACTTTTTGAATACACGCAGAACAGTAAATTTAAACTCACAATTCCCACTGTAATGCAAGAAAAGTTACCGGTGTCCTAATAACGCTTTCGTGAGTTCTTCTAAAATGCAATGGGCGTAAGGATATGAGATGATTAAGTCAGGCCATTCAATTTGCTGAGACAACGAAATTACAGAAACATTATCATTAGAGAATTATTCAATTATAGAGAAGACACTGTATATAAAAGCTGAAAGGGGTTCATGTTTTAAAAGGGTGGAAACAGCATTCCAGCTCTAAGTTTTTGGAAAAATGAGTAACAAGTTGGGAATTGTAACATGTAGGCGTCCAACTGATCAAGACAAATGGCAACTGGATCTTAACCACACCACCACTCAGTTCTAGTTTACGGGTACCAGCGTACTTACTGCTGGTAAGCTTGTGCTTTCTGAGCGAGGAACAGGGTGTGCGTTTGCTATGGCTGCCAGTTGCCAGGGTGTCAGTGCTCGCCGCCTGGCTGACTTCCAGGTAGCAGTGCTTTCCCAACGAGCTGGCAAGATGCCTGAGCCATCCGGAGGTGGCTCCAGCTCACTGCTGCCCTGACACTACATTTCTAAACCCTGATCCTAAATGTCTCTCTTCTTTTCTAGCAAAGTATTTGGAGGCTAGGAGGCAGCCCTCTTATCACTGACAATTATGGGAAGTGTCTCCCGTGTAGTGATTACCATAAACTCCTACCAGCACAGATCCGAGACGATGTCAGTCATCTCCTCTAACTAGTACTAGTTTACTTTCTGTATTCTCTAGTTGACAGGTAACTCCACACACACGGGTGACACTTCCTTACACACCTGTGCATTCCCAGCTGTTTGCACAGCCTTCAGCCCATCCTGAGCTAAGAGGTAAGCAACTCCCTGGCAGAGAATTTGGTCTATTTTGCTCACTGACAGGTGCGCAGCCTAGCCCAGAAGGTGCCACTTAGTAGGTGCTCAATAAATACGTGTACAACAAACGAACAGATGAAATACTGAGTAAACAGCCATGGAGCCATGTGTGACAGCCAAGGCAGCAACCATTGTTACTGAGTTTCAGGCACAATCTGAAAAGTAGATGAGACGATTCATAAAACCCATGGTTTCCTGAGACCCTTTAGCTAGATGGACGATTCTGGTGTGGAAACACCGTCATTTTTCCTCGTGTGCTGCTGCTTCAAGACAGAAGGTAGTAAGGAACTGCATAAGAAAAAATGTCACTTGTGTGTTGTCTTAGAAGCAAGTTTTATCCCCAGGCCAGCTGCCTATCAGAATCTGGGTCTTGTTTTTCTCACTTACTCCTACTTTCTGCCTCTTCCTGTCCCTTTTCTGTTTACTCCTCCACATAATGTGCTTCTCCAGCCCCTGATCCAATATGTTTCTTCCGGCTCCACTAACTCGAGGGGGTTGGCTTTATTTAAATGCAATTCTGCAAGGCTCAGGACGTGATATCATCCTTCTTTAAACAGCCAAGAGTCCCCGAGACTTTGTTCTTTACGCTTCTCGCAGGCTCCGTATAAAAGGAAGTGGCGAGGACCACATCTCTCATTTATGATGAGATGGCTCAGATCTAAATGCTGCCAATAATCCTAAAAAGAGACAGCATTCCTATGGGTGTTAGGAATGACGGACACATTGATGAGATACGTAGATAGGATCTCTCTGGGCCTAGAATCGTGCGCCCATGGTTTTGCCATATTGGTCTTCCAGAAGCTATCTCAAGGAAGCCGTCCAGATCGAAAGTACAAACATTGAAGGGTAAACCTGGTGTGATCTCTTTGGGTAACGGAAGGGTTATAATTTTCCACTCTAAGAATAATGGAGCAGCTGCTCTTTAAATGATGTCTTTGGTAAATTGACTGGGTGAGCAGGATAGGGTGAGGGGTACATTGAAATCCAGTATCAGTGTCACCTGAGTTTTTACAAAGTCACCAGCTGCAGGGGATAAACAAGCTGCTCTGAGAATCTCGCCTCTGGGAGCAGAATCCCAACACACACTAGAGAAGTGGGGAGTTTCAATTTCCCACTGAAGAGGAACCTCAAAGTCCAATATCAGCCTCTACCTCTGGGATATACAGCAGGGGTATAATAGTTGCCGGTTTCCCATAGACTCCTAGGCATCTTAGCGATGTGAGCCTTACTGTAATTCTAAGTTTAAATACATGAAAACCAGATGTGAACTTATCACTACACCGACGATTCTCACTTGGTTCCACTTGGTCCTTTCTGCTTTTTAGAAATGCACCCCTGTATCCGCTGTTGGAAAACCCAAAGAAGGTCCCGTCACTGATACAGTGCACGATTTACAACACCCCTGCGTTTGGGAACCATGATAACATCAAAGCGTTTGAACTCTGTCTTAAATATCTACATCTAGCAAATACACACGATCCGTGACCAAACACAGATCGATGAGTCACGACCCCTACCTTCGAGGCTCAGGAGAGAAGGTCGGGCAAACATCTCAGACGCACTCAGTGCCAGTGCAAAGGCTACAGCACAGCAGGCAGAGAACACGGCTTTTGGGGGGGTTGGGGCGGATGGATAAGCATTAACCAGGAAGGGAAAAGAAAGGAAGTCCTCCCAGGTTGAGGGAGCTGCAAGCACAGGCCACGGCAATGTGTGCCACGCTGCCTGGGCAACCAGGGCACCGGGAGGCGAAAGGGAAGAAGGAACGCGGAGGACAGAGAAAAGCAAAACTGAGCATCTTTCGGGCATCTCATGAGAGCAACACCCTCTTGCAATTTCTTCTATTCCCATGGCTGTGACTGCACGTAGCCCTACAAGCATGGAAAGAAAGAAGCGTCTGCTCACTGTTGTGTGGGTGCCAGCGCACGGCATTCAGGTAGAAGTTGCAGTAGTGGAAGAGAAACTCGTGATCCGAACGATGGCTTCTCCCTTGAAGCAGGGGCATCAGGTCACGTCCATCGATGATCCTGGGGGATAAAGCAGGTGGGCATCAGGGGGCCACATCGGCCTTGGGCTAAAACCTCCCGACGTCTGCGCTGTCCTTCCAGCAAATGGGGGGGCATGATAGAGCTACAACATGGTAATGAAGTAACCAACCCAGGACACTAACTGACCCACACTGGGCGCCGTATGCAACGTAGGGAGGCCAGCTCTGCTCGTGCAGGAACTCATTTCATCCTCCAAGCAGCACCGTGAGTTGTGACCAGTATCATTCCAGGATGATGGGATGAAGAAATGGAGTGATTCACCCAACTCCACGTGTGTCGTAAGAGCCAATGGGATTGAAACCCAGCTGACTGGGCGTCTGTGCTTTCCACTGCTTTCCCCTGCTACTGCTCCTATACCGAGTTTTCCGCCTATTGCCTTGGCAAACAGTGTATTCACAAACTACGGATCTATAGAAAATAAGAATTTCTGACAATCTGAGTTTAAAAAAAAAGATAATATACAGCATGGGGAAATTTAGATTGGATAGACTTCAATGCAAATGAAGTTCTAAGTCCTAGGGACGTGATTTGTAAATAATAATGATGATATTAAATACCCCGAAGGTGTAAATGTACTCGCATGCATTTACATATCACATATACACATTACACATATGTTTATGTTCTCAAAGGTAAATATATCTCTTCTATAACTAGGCCGAGAAAGGGAACTTTCCAGATGGTAGGCAATAACTGTATACAACTGCTAAGGAGCAAAATTAAGACTCTTTGGATGTTACATAAAGGAAAAAAGCCTATAATTTTGTTTTGAGTGAAACATACATTAACAGCCACTAGAGAAAATGAAGTTGTTGATTTTACCATTAGGCCACTGCCACCGAAACCTGGGGCTGAAGGCTACTTGGAAAGAGGCAGATTGTTGAACTTGAGGGTTTTCTTTCTCTGATTAAAAACATTCCAAGACAAATATCATATGATATCGCTTATATGTGGAATCTAAAAAAAAGGGTACAAATGAACTTATCTACAAAATAGAAATAGAGTCACAGATGCAGAAAGCAAACTTATGGTCGCCAGGGGTAAAGGCGTGGGCAGAGGGATAAACTGGGAGATTGGGATTGACAATATGCACACTACTATGTATAAAATAGTTAACTAATAAGGACCTACTGTATAGCACAGGGAACTCTACTCAATACTCTGTAATGACCTATGGGGGAAATCACCTTAAAAAGAGTGGATATGTGTATATGTATAACTGAATCACTTTGCTGTACACCTGGAACACAACATTTTACATCAACTACACTCCAACAAAAAATTTTTAAAAAACCCAAAACACTCCATCCCTGGCCCCTCCTACTATGAGGAATTGAGAAACCAGAACTTTAACTTGGTTATATAATGTGGGTAAGCACTCTTGAGAGGTCCTACCTCCCTTGAGTTTTTTTCTTTTTTCTTTGTGGTTTATTTTGGTGTCGCTAAAAATCCCATCACGTAATTAATGCTGACTGCTTCTCTGGTCCCCACCTTAGTTATTAATCATGCACTCCACACAAGTCTACGGAACTGAAAATATTCTATTATTGTAAGTTAAAAATAAGAACAAAAGACAGAATTGGCTCACTTTCCAAGCCTGATTCTCATTTGCCATGAGAGGAACAAGGTAGAGAGATGATTCGATCCAGAAGCAGTGTGTTCTCCGGATACTAGGTCTATCCTGAAATGGCTGATATTGTGAATTTCAAGAAAAACTCAGTCCTTAAGATTAGGAGAGCCTAAGTAGGTGGAAAGGAAGCAAGGGATGAGGGGAGAGGGGCAGAGAGGAGGACCTGAGCATAAAAAGCCCCCAGTGGTGAAAACCCTGAAGGTGAGAGATGGGACAGATGGGCCCGACACCTCTCCACCACCTTTAGCTCCACGTGGAGACAAGGCCTTTCCACGATGGCTCGAGGGTGAGAGTGAATCTCTGTTTCTCTAACTCAATGTCTAGCTCATTTCTCAAAGCTGTTTTTCATCATAAACCCACAAAACTCAGCACTTAAGAACCCAGGAGACAGAACTGTTTTCTTAAGATTGGTATTTCATAACTGAACTGGGCCTGATCCCACAAAGGGGGATTTAATGACAAAAAGAACACTGTATATCTCACAGATTTTTTTTCTGACATGCAAGCAGATTTGTCTCTTTTTTTTAAGGAGGGAAGCAAAGTCTGTTCTGCAAACTTCTTTCTTCTTGCAATGCAGAGACTGATCTCATTTTTGTTTTACATCCTATACCTAACGCACTCTTTCCTGGAAGC